TACAGCAAACAAGTTTTAGCGAGGACCTGTGTAATGGATCACACTCTGCAACATCACTACCAGCAGTTATCGTGCAACTGTGCAACTTCTAATCAGCTGCCAGGGACTGCGTAGAAAGTGGGTCTTGGCACTCTGGAACCAAGCAGATTTCATGTCCAGGGCAGGCCATCTGAACGAGAAGGCACACAGAGCAGCGCCTGGGATTCCTGCAGCTCTCTCACGAGCACATGAGAGCCCTGTGTATGCAGCAGTAAATCCCAAGCATTTGGGTATTTAGGGCTCTAGTTCCCCCTTAAATCTGCCACTGGGTCTATAAATGGTCATGGAAACACAGATCAGGTTTAATGCTCTGTGCAGCCTAGAGTTGTTTAAACTCCCGAGCTGCTGGAAGTGGAATCAGCCAAAAAAACCCCTAACCCTTACAACAGCACACCTGTTTAAATTCCCCTAACCAACTCAATTCAGGAGAGCTTTTCATTTGCACTCTGGTCTTCAGTGTACTGCCCCCCATCCCCACACTGCTCCTGCTCTCAGGCTTCTGTGACTGTTGGGGGTCCCCTGGTACCACCTACCAATAGTTGTAGAGGCACTTGTCTCCATAGTTTGCACAGAGGGCCTGCTCGTGGCTGCAGGAGGACAACTCCGAGGACGGGCTGTGGAGTTCGCGCTTGATCTTTGCTGGAGGTGGGGCATGAAGTACCACTGAAATCAAGAGAGGAGGAGAAAACAATTAAACAGGCACCACCGTGTCTTGCTTTCCCTGTTTTATCTGCCATTACAGCTCCTGTGCACGGGCTTCGACCTAATACGGAGCTATATGAGAGGGTGACAGACCAAGGCTTACAGCACTTTGTGGTACACAAGCTAGCACGCACAGCACGGCAGAGAGCAGGCTCACAGCCAGTTTCTGCTCCCTTTCAAGGCATGTTTAGGTTGAAAAAAAATCAATGTTTTGGCCAGCAGTAGGCAGCAAATTGTATAGGATTGCCCCGTGCACCCTTCAGGAGAGTGGTGACTGGCTGTCACTAACTGCAGAGGACCCAACTCTTGCTAGCTGCCAATTTAGCACTGCTGAAACCCAACTGTCCCCAAGCTTCAGAGGGGCCAATGGAGCCAGTTCTGGAAGAACTCTGGGAAAAGCAAGGCTATAGAAAGCAAGGTCTCTGCTCTGTCTGGGGAGGCCAGGTGACAAGATAAGACCCGATGGGCACAACTGTGGAGAAGGGCAGGTTTTGGATCTTGGATGTACATTGCAAGAGGTGGATCTTGGGAGGGTGAATATAGATGGCAGGGCACTAATAAAACACAGCCTGCCTCAAGGCAATTAAACTGTGATGGCACCATCCAGTGAAGGACCATCCTCAGCAGCGAACACGCACACACTTTGCCGCCTCCCACCTTCCGGTGGTTTTGGGCCCAGCTTTGCCAAGGATCCCCGCACAAACCAGTCTGCGGAGAGCTTTTTAGCCTAGACCTCTTCAGCCTTCAGGCAGCGAAGCCAACTGAATGCATTGAGTCTGAAGAGCACTTTCACATGGCCCCTAGCTGGGGTTAAATTGTGGAGAACATGCACTGTTCTCCGCAATCTCTCTTTGCTACCTAACAGGCAATACCGGACAATAGGCAAGTCATCCAAGAAACACCAAGAGCCCTCCACGTAATGTAAAAGGTAAAACTGAAGTTGCTGGGAGGGGCGAAAGCAGCAGTCTGACAGAAGCCTGCACAAAGGTATCTGGCAAGCATCTGTCAGGAAAGACAGTATAGTTTTTAAATATCTGAAAGGCTGCTACAGAGAAGATGCAAGGACACTGATCTCCCTTGCTGCAGAAGACAGGACATGTAGCAATGGGCTTCAAATGAAGCAAGGCAGATTCAGTTCAAGTCTCTGAAACAAACAAACAAAAAGCCCTTTAACTGTGAAAACAGAGAACAAGTTGCCCAGGGAAGTTGTGGAGTCTCGCCCATAGGAGGTGTTCATAAAGAGGTTGGATAGGCCTCTACCCAGAGATAAATGGTGCGCCCTGCATCCAAACGTGGGCTGGACTAGATCAGTGTTTCTCAACTTGTGAGTCGCAAAAAATATTTGAAAGGGCTGCAAACAAACTTTAAAAATGGATTCTCCTTTCCAGGAGAAAAACATGGGAAACCATGGCTTTCTCCTTGCAGGCTGGCACATTTCCAGCCTGCTCGGGGGCCCCCTGCCCCACAAACCGAGGGACTGGGAGCAGCAATGTTTACAAATGGCTCCAGGTACAAAAAAGGTTAAGAACCAGTGCACTGGGTGACCCTCGAGGTCCCTCCTAACCCTATGACCCTGCGCTAGATAGCAGGCCCACGAGCCCTGCTCTGGGGGCCACAGTTCACTGTTCTTCCTCAAACACCAGGCAGGAGACTACAGCCCCCGGTGTCCCTTTTTCATAGGCTTATACAGCATTTTCCATGGTCTGTACTCAGCCTGGAGTAAGTTTCTCTTCATGTTTTACTCTGCAATCCACACAGGGCTGGGGCCATGTGCTCCCGTGTACCTGTATACACACACATGTCCACTGAGATGGCAGTGTGCTGGTGCTTCTCTCTCCTAGTACAGGCACCCGCTGCCTCGTATCTGAGCACGCTTACACAGCCGTTCCTGTGGGAACCCGTTAAACATGGCCCACGTCCTGGTCTCCGCTCCCTGGTAGAGCCAGCGCCCGGCATGCCAAACACTCCTCCTCTTCCTCCGGCCAGAGGCCAGCGACCCTTTAAACACCAGACTATGTAATTCTGGCTATGGCCCGACGGCGTCAAAGTCTGCTAACTATATATAATTTTTTAAACCAACTAATATACGCTTAACCTAATTAATTTCTAAAAACAGACACTCTGGAAAGGGAAGGTACGTCAGCGCTCTCTACCTAAATAGCGGCTGCGGTAAGCAGCCAGGCTTAATCAGAGGTGGAGTATTATCTCCACGCGGAGTCTAAACACATCCCAGAAACACGGAGGAGAGAACAGCTCTGGTTTCCAGCTTGGCTGCTAATTAGCTGCTCAAGTTCATCAGTGGCTAAAGCCTTGAGAGACGTGGCAATGCCTAACCCCTCGCACAGCTGGTCCCAAGGGCACTAGAAAACCCCAGGAGGCTTCAAAGCAAAATCACAACCCTTTCCCTCTCTCCCACCCTGCAAGCAAGGGGAGGCAGCTCTGCTCCAGGCTCAATTTTTTTTTTTTTTAAATAATATATTTCATGGTCGAGGTCAAATTAGCCAAATCGGCTCCAAATCATATCCAAGGAGTAGAACTCGATCGTTCCAAGAACCGTATCGATTCTAAACCCCGTGGATGGCGCTACAACCGGCGGGCAGCCTCCGTCCCAGCCTCTCACCCTGGGGCTTCAGATACTCCCAAATCCGTTGGCAGACATCCTAAGGCAGACCCAAGCCCAGAGGTCTTGGGATTCGGATGCCCCCAAAAGCTACAGGCAAGCCCAGTTCAACACCCACATGAGATGGGAGGCTGCCCCAGCCCCTTTCAGGGACACATCAGTGGCCTTCCATTGCCTCCCTTCTCCCTCAGGTAACAGAGACAGGCCCGTTCGGACGCCAGCTGCATCCTCCGATGCTGGAAGAAACAGGTCCTATAGCAATGCAGAGGCATTTGGCAATCTCTTGCTCCTGGCAGCATCTGTGATCCAGGTCCACGCCTCGCTACCCTCCAGCATTTCTAGTGTTAACCCTGCCCCTCAGAGAGGCCATTCCCCACACTGAGCACAGCCAGCAGCAGGAAAGCAAAAGGAAACTTATTTTGGAGGGGCTCCAGCTGCCAATCACCGGCATGTTTCTCTCTAACAGTCTCCGTGTTGTTTGAGCCGGGTTGTTTTTCCGCCAGCAGCACAATGGGGCCTGGTTATTCATTGAAAAAGTCTGCGCGCGGGCACCGCCCTCCATTCACAACCAATTTGGAATGCTCCATTCATTCAGAGGGGAAAAATTTTTTTTTTAAATCCCTCCAGCTCAGCACTACCATTCAAGAAAAGGGAAACGACACTTCAGAGCATAACAGAGACCAGCTGCCCGCACCGCGCGGCCAGGGCCGTGCGTGGTGTCTGAATGCCTTGCATAAACAGTGCAGGAATGGCAGGCGCAGCTCGCGGGGACTTGGCCTTTTCACCAAGTTCATGCAAAACCCAAATGATTGCACAACTCTGCTTGTGGCCAGGACCGGAAACGCCCTTTGGCAAAAGGAGGAGTAAAGATGAAGAAAAAAAAAAAAAAGAAGTTAAACTTGCACTCCTTTGTTCAAAACAGGGCTGCTGGCTGCCAGGGGCAGGAGAGGCTCACAGCTAGACCCAAGTCCTTGCTCTGCGGCCCATGGAGAACTCACTGTCCTATGTGCTCCTTGTGCAGTGGGGAGAGAGCCACACCTTGCTAGCTCCACTTTATTTCTGGACTGGATGGCAGCGTCCACAGAATCACAGACAATGAGGGTTAAAAGGGACCTCAGAGGGCCACATCTAGTCCAACCTCCTGCTTCAAGCAGGGCCAGCCCCAACTAGATCATCCCAGCCAAGGCTTTGTCTAGCCTGGTTTTAAAAATCTCCAAGGATGGAAAGTCCACAACGCCTCTGGGTAACCTGTTCCAATGCTTTACTACCCTCCTCATGAGAAAGTTTTTCTTTATATCTAACTTCAGCTTTGCTTGCTGTAACTTGAGCCCATTGCTCCTTCAGTCATCTGGCACCACTGAGGACAGTCCAGCTCCATCCTTTTTGGAACCACCCTGCAGCACATGGACGGCTGCTATTAAATCCCCTCTCAGTCTTCTTAGTCTTCCTCAGTGGTTTGCCCCGAACCATTTTTGTTGCCCTGCGCTGAGCTAGAAGAGAGAGGGAAGGGACCTGCTTAGCCAAGATTCACGTACCAGACTACTGAGAGCCGCTAAACTAGCAGGCGAGAAGCACAGTTTGGACATGGGGTGGGGATAGATGGACAAAGCTCCCTGCCCCCATCCTGCCTCCAGCTTGGGGATGTCCTCTCTTTTGGTGGCCCCTAACCTTCCCCAATGTGCTCATTGTCAGCTAAAAGGAGATCACAGAGCTGGGGGCAGGAGAAGCAGTTAGCCCAACCACCTCTCGTGAGAGAGGGCCACCAAGCAGGGGCCAAGCCCGCATCTCTCCTGGAGCTTGCCAGGCCATGGCGTTGCTTGTGCCAAGAGGCACGTGGAGCCAATGCTGCTCTGTTCTGTGCGCTCTGATAAGGGAACTGTCAGTAAGCTAGCAAATAAACAACCCCCCTTTAGTGGCAAGGGTGTCCCCGGTCTGCTCCCATGTGCAAGTAGGGAACAGGACCGGAACGCTGCCCCGGCGAGAGCTGCCTGGGAAAAGCACACCGTGCCAGGGCCCAGATGGAGCGCTGCATGCCTCAAAGGCACGCTGCGTGTGCGAGCCCGCGTCCGGCCTCCCGCTCTAGTGTTCTCTGCTATAATTAGAAGCTGGTGGGGGGGAGTAAGTGAGTCGCTTAACTACAGGCGGGGCTGGAGACTCTGCCTCAATGTACCATTACAGAGATTAGCTCAGGAATGCGGCGCTGGGTGGCTGGAGCTGGCAGAAGCATTTCTCCATCTGAACTGGCCAGGTGGGGGGATCTTTCACTTCCCAGCACTGCTGCTGTTGCTCCTGCCTTTCCCTGCAGCCCTTCAGGCCATTTCGCACCTCCAGCCAGACAAAG